CTCCACAACCTCTCTGGACAACCTGCTCCAGTGGTTGACCACCCTCACAGTAAAAAAGTGTTTTCTGGTATTCAGGTGGAATCTCACGTTATTTTTTGTCTATATAATCGGATTGTCACAGGATGAACTTTCATCATGCAGAAAAGATGACACTAGGAGCAGCTGTGGTGACACCAGTTAGGTCAGTGGTATGCTCGGCTGCACTCAGCTCTCATTAAGACAAAATAAAGCACAAGGAGCACCCAAGAGGCAGCTCTGCAAGCTTTTCTTCTGGCAACGCAGCACAATGCGCAGTGAGGCGTCAGCTTCAGTAGCCCACACCCCTTCTGCTCAGCTGAAACCTGATCCTGTTGGCTCCCAGTGTTGCCAAACCGTTTCCCGGCCTCTCACAAAAACCTTGTCCCTGTTTTTTTCCCTAGGTTAACTGCCACGCGGCACTAAAACCACTGTACCAGCACGTACACAAGCAGAGGAGTGACTGGTCAGCGCTGCACAAACACGCCCCTGGAACTACAGCCTCATTCCACAGTGGGACAAGAGACACCTTAAGTCCTCAAATTCACCTGTTCCAACTTACATCTCAGGCCAGCTGAGAATGAGCGTGGTGCTACGCAGGCGGTCAGCCGTGGTGGTCAGTTATTTGACACTTAAGACATGGGTCAAGCTTCTGACAGCAGAAAGGCGGTGTATCTGCTGCCTACTGCCGCGTGCACAACCACCTTCTAGGACAGGAACCTAGACACCGAGAGCTTGTTGCTCCAGTGCACCCCACTCTTGTATCTGACGCTGATCTTGCTGCTTAGTGGCAAAATTACTAATGCTGACATCTAAAGTAATGAACTAGAAGAAAATTCACACCTCTCAGAGCAAGTCATTCACACTGTATTTTGACAGAAACATTCATGCTGCATTTAGAACTTTTTTGGGTAATGAAAGACTGAATGCTTTTATAAGAAAATTTAAGAAACTAGGGCACCATTTGCAATACATTCAAAAAACCCTCAGCTCTTACTGAAGATAATTCAGCAGAGTACACACTAAACATAAGACGTAAAATGATGCTACTGTCAATGAAACTTCATTTACAGTAATTGCAGAAGTGAAAAACCACATTCTATTGGGTAACTAGAGGCCTGCCCCTGACAGAGTGCCTGTACGTTCATTCGAGCATACAGCAGTCAGCTTCGCGTTTTCATGAGGGCGTCTGGTGCAGCAGGCAAGGACACTTCTTTCTGGGATGGGCATGCATGCATGAATTTTGACGCGCTTTGGGACTGGGGCAGGGATGTGCTGGCAAGTTTTGCATTGCTGTTCAGGTGTCGTTGGGTTCCACGTGGTATATGCTGGTCCACAGGAAATTTGTTTCTGAATTTGAGTCAAGTAAGGTTCTAGAGGGAATGGAAGAGGACCTCAGGCAACTGACTCTACAAAAAGTTATTTCAAGAGAGGATCATCTTTATGTATGCAGCAACTGTTCAGGCTAAATTGTTAAAAAAGCATACAGGCATTACAAAGGTATATAGGGGTGACGCGTATTCTGACACTGACGCTGCACCAGTACTTATGCTGCCCACGAAGGAGTCAGTTCTGCCTCCAGCATGGCTGTCCTGTAGCAAATCCATACTGGACGTGACTAAGTGCTAAGCTTTCACACTGCAGTCGTACTGACAGCCACGTAAGAACTGGTAAATGACCAAAGCACATGGAAAACTGATTTCCCAAACCAACTCAGATTACACATGCCAGACTGAAAATTTCAAGAACATGGTGGATGCCTCTGTGCATGCATGCACACTCATGCACAAGTGCAAACAGTGTACATTATCTCACTAAGGGAAAATATTTATGATGAAATACTGGAGGTTTTAATATGCGTTTTGTATACGCTCCAGGCAAGTGAAAAACACCTAGATATTCAACACGGCAAGGTGAAGACAGGCTTAGGTTTAGTTGCCACTGTCTTCTGCTAGTTTTTTGGAAATTCTAAATAAAGCATACACGTGTACTATCTTTTACCCTACTCTAAGAAACACACAGTTATAACCATTTAAATATAAGGAAGTTTCCAACTATTTTTTTTGCATTTCAGGTCATCTCATGGCTACCACAGCAGGCTGATGACTTCCATGGAATTCATCATGGTGCATATTCAGGCGTCAAGCCTGAGTAAGGATAAAGTTAATCCAATTTAATTTGCATAGCTTTGGTTTTAGTAGTGATGTTGAACAAGTAGCAGACAGCACCTTTGCTTACTAACACATTTGGAATATTAACTGAAAACAAAAAAGTATTCAATTTCTGCTAGTGCTAGTCTCTAAGGAACCATGAACTTTTTTTTTCTGCTGATAAACACTTTATAAGGTTGTAACATCAGTTCTCAGTACCTTCCAATTTGGCCCCAAAGGTCCTCTCTTCGTCTTAACCGACTGGAATAACGCAGGGTCTTCATCATCTTTGTAGTCCTGGAACATAAAAAAAAGCCCTGAGAGTCAGAAAAACCCCCACCAGATTCAATATCCCACTGCATTAAGCTTCTGTTCAAGACTACTATATTGATTCTCCTGAGTGGAGCAGGATGGGTGGAGCACATTTGTTGGGCTGACTTCAGTTTGTGCTGAATACTCCATCACACCCACTCCCTCACGGCGTATCACCAGTGATGCTCATTGCCTGTTGGCACTGTGACAGCACGCCAGGGCTGCCTTCGAGGTCAGAACTTCTGGGTGCTGCACGCTGCACGACACAGACACTATCCTGTCGGGTTTGTAAACTTTCAAGGGGAAGAGAAAGCAACAAGAGAGAAACTAGCGTGCTAACGCTCTCCAAACTGCAGCGTATGCCCGCTCCTGCGAGTGCAGAACAGGGAGGGAGGAAGGGAGCTAACTTGCAAAACTAGAAACTGCACCATCTCAGTCTGTGAGACATCGCCAGGCTAAGCACGGAGCGGGCGCGGGGCGGCAGCCTGAGCGGCACTGCTTCCCAGACAGCACCGTTCCCCAAGGCATGTGCAGTGGGAATAAAGCAAATATTGATAGAGCTGAAAGTGACAAATGCTTCCAACACATGGATCTACTTAGTTTTACTGAAAAAATGGGCATGAAAATGATTATTTGATAAAGATGCTACTTTGGAAATTAGGAAGGATTAAGAACTCTGACCTCAGTAACAGACAACCCATAAGGTTTACATAAAGTATGAAAAACTCAACTTACAAATAGCATTACACCCATGCAACCAAGGAGAACTGTAAAAGTTTAAGTTGCTTCAAAGTAGAACAAAGTTCTGCATCAGAGAGTTGTCACAAGGAACTGCATTTGTAGACTGCTTCTAAATGAATTACAATGAAACCTTCACCTTTCTAATGCATCCTCCTATATTTAAAATTAAACACTATCAGCAGCAAGATAGACATAAATTAAAAAATGGCTCTCTGAATATTAAAACTGAAATATTGATGTTTCTTCTGAGTCATACTAACACCATCTAACCACACCTCCGCTGACGCAGTAGTGTTTTGGAGAACTGGTTTCCCTTCCCGACTACGTTGCAAAGTTCTTGCAGACAAAGGCATGAACATAAGCCCAAGTAAAATAAACCTGAACACTGGGACATTACAGAGCAGGAACTGGCAGACAGAGTTAGAATATTCTGGCTTAGTGGCCAGTGACAGACACTTCACGGAAGGATGCAAATAACCCAAGACGGAGCTGTCAATCCAAGCAGTGAACAGTCTGGTCTTCTCTATTCTGTGTTTGGTTTTTTTCTGGAAAGGATATAACTCTTCCATTACAGAGGATCACACAACTGGGTATTCCTCTCCACTTTTATTTTTGGCCTGCATCATTGCACCCTGTGGCAATTAGTGACTAATGAATTATGAACTGCGCAAGAGTATTTCCCTCTCCCATTGTTCTGAAGGGATTTCACATTTATTGTCTGTATTTATTCACCAGGAAAATTCCAAACAAACCTGAGAAAAACAATCCACACAAAAGAATTTCCACCAACTTTCCTCAGTCCTCCCAAAACAGCTCCTTTTCCCTATTTTTCATGTTTAACCCACGTAACTTGAATTCAACAGATGGTACTAGTGCACGTACAACCGAGGAGCTATTAATGAATTCATCGTTTCAGCTGTCAGAAGTATCGAAGATCACATGTAACGCGCCAGTTTTCAAGTCTAGATTCTTCCACCAGCATGGAGGAACGTAGCCTACTTCTAGACTGAAATTCCACATTCTCAGAGCAAGGCTACACAGATCAGTTATGAGTGCTTTTATAACCATTTTGACATTTACAGTGCACTTTTCGCAAGCTAGATGGAACTGGAAAATCCAGCAGGTCCTCTCACAGAAATCTGATGTCACAAAGAAAATCAGCTGTTGTTCTCTGATACTCTCTTCTCCCACAATTTTTTCTCATTGTTCCCAGTTCTTTTAATGTACCTACCTACGCTATGTATTAAAATAGGCTGAAGAAACCTTTTAACAGATTTTTCCCAGCCATTCTGCAATTAATATACCTAGAGATCATTATTAGGTATTCAGATAAACTTCCATATTAAGCATTCGAATACGTACTTCGAGCAAGTACTTCCTAGAAACATCGGAGTCAAGACATTCAATCACATTGCTAATCAATGTGTTTTAGGAACTTCCACAAAAGTTTTTTCCTCCATTTCTCCCTCTAAACCGAAACATGTTTATTTAAAGAACCCATATAATAGCCAGCCAACTTTACAGCAGGGTGCTCCCGCAGGTGCTAAGATAATCCTCTGTCGCCTCACGGGGACAGTGTGAGCAGTCAGCATAAGCACTGTACATTAACATTTACGTTCAGCAACGCCGAAATGTAAGTCCACTCAAATTACTATAATTGCAGAAAGACTAATAGCAACAGGCTATTAGTTGTCATTTGAATTTTCGTAAAGCCCCACGCATTTACGATTTTACTGGAATAAAGCACACGTCCTTTTTACAGACATCCAAAAGCACAGATCCATTCCTTCGTGTACGATTCCTTCGGCACACAGCCCTACCGCTCACCCACGGCCGCACGTGAGCAATGCCCTGGGCAAGGCAGCCTGCTGGCTTGGTGCCTCCTCCAGGAAACCAGCAGCGAGGTGAGCAGAGGGCACACGACTTACAGCACTTGCCACCAGCTGTAGCCTTCTCACCTCATCAGTTATTTCCAAATACTGGGGTGAAGACAGCTGCAACCTACTTGAATCCTCAGGTCCTGCATATTCTGGACGCTGAATGTGATATGCAGTTCTGGTTTGGGTTTGTTTGTTTTTTACAATCCTTGAGTGGGAAAAAAAGGCATTTTCTTTATAAGTAAATCACCTTTAAGAAATCTATGTGCATACCTAGCAGAATATTTTAATAGAAATATATTTAAAGTTTATATTACTGATTATGACTGCCTTTTAACAATTGCACTCAAACACTGGGTGGGAGACACTGAGAAAAGGATCCAGCTATAGTGGGTAAACAATTTTCCAATAAACATTTTGTTTAGATAACTAATTCCTGGCATGAGTATTGCTGTTTTGGGGTAGCGATATGCTAAACAGAACCAGAAAATACAAGAACTTCCATATTTTAGTGCCAGTTTTGTAAATAAAACCAGGTACTGCATTGAGACAACCCTGAATTTCTTAGTTTGATTGTCTGAATATCCTACCAAGGTAGAGCTCACACCGGAGTGCTGCAGGGCATATCGATATCCATACCATACACTCATTTGCACTAGTGGTACTCAGAGGATTCTGTCCCAGCTGTAAGCACAGTCTTGCAGCACTGTATGACATCATCATATTTAGGATGTTCTCAGAGTATCTCCGTGCTTTCTTTAGAGCAAAAAAGAAGAAAGTGCAATAATTATAAAGAGATTGCTGTCACGCTTCCACGGATCACTACAGGCACAACAGAACAAACCTAAAAGCAATAGAAAAGCAGTACTAAGAGGAGCCAAACTTATGTAATATACTGGGATATAAGGAAACCTGGAGAGAATATGACACAAAATATCTTATGACACTAAAATTCTGTGGTACATCTATATTTTGAATACTAATTAATTTTTGGTACCCTTTTCTCTAGAAGAATACATTAGAAGTGGAAGACACACAAAAGACAGCAAGAATGATTAATTATGGAAGCAATTCCATTCAAATAGCAAAGTAGATCATGAATCTTCAGGCTGGAAAAGACATGACTGAGAGGGATAAAATACAGAAATCTGTAAAACCAGAGAGGGAATATATGTAGGTAGGGACTGGAGCTAGTAGAAGCTGAAAACCATAACCAGATGAAATTGTCAGCAACCCGAAACAGAAATCTTAGACAACTTTCAACACAAATACAGGAAGAATACTGCCAATTCCATCAGTGGTTAAGAACAATGAAGAAAGAAAGAAGGCACAGGCAACTTGTAGAAGAATGAAGAAGCTTCCATTTTTTTGAAAGTCTTTTGCTGAAGGAAAACAAATTCACTTCCAATAGGCAGTGTTTGGTTGAGCCCATGTGTTTGTGCTGCAAGCGACACGTTTCCAAACTGTAAAACTTTTTTTCCGAACTGTTCACCAGAAGGTAAGCTGCAGTTCTGACTCCTTACTAAAGCTACAGCATCCTGTATCCTCATGAAGAGTATGGATATGGAGGATGTAGCTGCTGCCTAACCAGCCCTTCCTACACCCGTTCCACTTACGCAGAGCGCTTCCTCTTTTGACTGGGTGACGTTGTAACTAGACTGTACCTTTGCACTAGCTTATAAGATCCAGGACAAAATCATGTTTCAAAGACCAAAACCCTTCACTCTAAACTTGTCATCAAAGTAATTGCCGCCACTTTTTACAGTTCTGTAGTATCCAGCAACTGGATCAGACAGGAAGAACCGACATACTATGGAAGTTTACACAGGACTAATACAAGCTTCGTGATGCCAGCAAGATGGTCAGGGCTAAACACACACCAAAGATGAAATGTCTTGACTCACTACAAGTTGCCATAAGGCATTGTCAAAAATCTGCAATAAAATGGTTCCAAGCATGCTTATAACTATAGAAATTTAACTGATCTACTTTCTTTTGTAAGCACTACAATATGAAATCTACATAAATTATTAATTAAGAAACCCGAAACTTAAGAAGTCAGCATCCTTGAAGAAAGCTAAACAAAGTGCAGAAAACAAGGCTTTCTCCCTCAGAAAGACAGCTTCCACATTCCATATGATGCAGAAGTATAAAAGGTCTTGCCACATGATTAAAGCGAAATATGCTTGGCGATTTCTACATTTGCAAACTCCTTCCTGAAAAAATAATAAAGAAACAAAGCAAAAATATCAACACACACTCCTATTTCCAAGTAACAAGCTGTTCATCCAAAATCCTCCGGAACTTTAAAACTAAAAATCACATTCACTAACAACATCTGTGGTATTTCATACCAGAGTACTTCATACCTGTTTGTTACGGTATACACCACACGAGCTTCCAGAAATGCACTGTAGGATGCAAATTTTCAAATACACAACGATCAGCAAACTTGCTACGGTAAGAACTTCACTTACATACGCAGTCTTTGTTTTGGCATTAAAACTCATCTACATGTGCAACCTTGATCTGCCTGTTTTATGTTGTGGAATTATTTGACTGGATACCACAGGGACGCACAAGTCCACGCGAAGACCTCTCACTGCCCAGGGACAGCGGTAAAAAGCAACTTTGCTCTTGCATTTAGGACCCACATATAAACACACTTGGAAACACTGGGGAGAAACACCCCAACGTTATCTACAAGTAAAATGTGGGAGTGAAAAAAAAATTCAGAGAAAATAGATGGGTCATGGTAAAGTTTTCTATGCTAGAGACCACATACAGAATCTTTGAACCAAGACCCTTCAGGACTCAGTTAACCCAAATCCTGTTAAAAAAAAACCTGTCTAGATTAAGGTCTCGATGGACAAGGGAGCATTGTAGGAACTCTTCGCGAAACACAAACCCTACCAGCATGCAAGCAAGACGACTGGACTAGAGCCAAAGTACAAATAAACAACAGTTCTTTGCAGAGTTTAAGGAAAATATCTGTGCAGCAAGAGCTTAACTCCTGACAGCAACAAGTCCTTCTTAGGAAGAAAATCAGGCAGCTGTTGGAACAAGTACGACCGCTAAAAAACCTTGAAGCCTGCTTAAAAGCTAGAGAGGTAAAACGTCGTTACGCGGCAGCACAACCACCCAGAGGAGCTAAACGCTGCCGTGGCTTAGCCCGGCCGGCAACGAAATCTACAGCCACGCGCTCTCTGTCCCCCGCCCTCGGGGAAGAGAGTCGGAGGGGATGCATGCGGCGTCCGGAGCGCGCAGCTGAGGGGCAGCCTCTGATCGCCCAGTCAGAGAAGAGACGGATAACCCGTGCAACGGCATCCGTAGTTCCGTCCGGCCCTGGATCACGAGCCCATCTGTCACGGCAGTCGTGCAGGGACTTCCTCTGATGGGGTGCGAGCAGCTGTGTGGCCTTTAGCTGCCAGCTGGGCTAAACTGTAACAAAACCACTTCAAAGAAATACACAAATATCGTTTCATAGACAGTTTCTGCTGAAAATCTCAATATAAACACATGAATGCAACAAACTGTTACAAAGAATTACTCAGAGAGACTGTGAACCACTCGCAACAAACCCACAATCTGGGTACTTCTTTACAATTCTCATTTATAAGACCTGCTAAAAGTAGTAACAGTACTCCTGGTAGCTCAGAGTTCACCCCGTGAAGGAGTATAAAACTTCAAAGCATACATACAGGACAGAGTGATTTTGAGAAAACTTAGAGAACCTAACAAAAATGACACCAGTCTGATGCCTTATCTGCAAATTCACAAAAAAAGCTTCCTGAACACACAGTGGCTTAAGCCTAACCAGGCAGGTGGGCACAATTTCTGGCTTTTCGACTCAATACTACCTTAGCTTTTTTAACAGGAGAACACTATCAGTGTTATTTAGCAGAGAACTGTGGAAGGAAACACATACCAGAACCTCTCTCCTGCGACCCACAGCTCTGTGAATACCTGCTCACAGCACAATAAGAGATCAAAATCAGGTTGATCAAAGTATGTCATATTCCCAATCCAGTGTGTGATTCCCAAGTCTCATAACTGAAGCAATCACTTAACTGATAGGCAAGAAAAGCATTTGCCTGTTCCGGGCAGATTTAGCTAAACGGCTTTCGATAACAAACATCTCAGTCATTCCCATCTCCTAAGAGTCCTGTAGCTACAGGGCAGCTACCAGGTGAACTATTCCCTGAAATCACCTCTGAAAGAATGCCAAGGTTCAAGCGAAAAATAAAATCAGCCTTGTTAAATGAGCACAGACGTGCACTGCGGCGTTGTGCTATGTGCTAGAAGTTAAAGGTCTCCATGAAAGAGATTGTTTTATAAGACAGCCCGGAAGATATGAAGATTGATAAGCACCCAGAACAGGATGAAAAAAGCCTTAAATAGGGGATAGAAAACAGAAAGAGGGCAGGAAAACACTAGTAAGCTAGAAATAAGTCCCATTGTACACACGTAGGTTGTTCCAGGGTTATGCAGTTTACGGGGCATACTTAAACCATCAAGTCACAGGTACGACTGAAGGAATTAAGCAAAATTCAAAGCATGTACAAGTTATTCTATTTTCTAAACCAGTAAATAACATCCCAATATGAAGAAAGGCTGTTTCTGTAAGCAGGCTGAAGACTGGGAGAAAGTAACAGAGCCACATAGCAATCACCTGGTTGAACACTTAATCCTCTGTGTCTTCAGAATAAAGAAGCACTGATGGAGGTTGAACTGCGGAGCATCTATTCAAACTCAGCAATTCAGGCAAGCCTTTTCCAGTAACACAAGTGTCCAAGGCAAAGCAGAAAACACACTTTGGGGTGAAATGTCAGGTCTGTAGCACTCAGTCTGTTTTCCACACATCTCCAGATACTGGCACCTCAAAGAGCCCTGGTGGCCAGGGACACATCCATAGGGTCACTTTCGGGAGTGCTCTGGGCACCAGACTGGCATTTTTGATGCCTGAATCCTGATCACTAATGCATTTTTGAACAAGTCAAAGACATTATAGGGTCCAGACTCCCCTGGATCTCTCAAATGTTTTAAGTCACTGGGCCTTCCTCAGCAGCAGCCATACAAGGATTGCCCGCTCCACAGCCATTGTAGCATTCCTCATCACACACTGATTTTGTAGGCTGGACCGTAAACACCTAAGGCAGTTTGACAGTTGGGGTTGTTCCGCCTGGAGACATGAAGAATAGATTGGATATAAAGAAGGAACTTTTTTACGATGAGAGTGGTGAGGCACTGGAACAGGTTGCCCAAGGAAGCTGTAGATGCCCCATCCCTGGAGGTGTTCAATGTCAGGTTGGACAGGGCTTTGAGCAACCTGATCTAGTGAAAGATGTCCCTGCCCACGGCAGAAGGGCTGGAACAAGATGATCTTTGACGGTCCCTTCCAACCCAAGCATATAACTATAAGCTGGTTAACAAAAAATTGAAAACAAAGGGGAAAAGAACGGGAACTGTTACAAATATTAGCTGTTGTCCTGTCAGCAAAATCTCAGTATGACAGATAAAGCCTAACTAGAATTTCCTTCTTGTATTTATTTCAGTGGAATTTGATACAATTACACTCAGAGTACCACTGTCTTTTCTGTGCAAAGTGCTATTGAAAAGGCAAGTTGAAAGCGTGCATGCCTAGCACTGAATTCTGCCACACTCACTTCTTCATCTAGTCACCTACTTCCATCACACATGTAAGTGAGCTAACACAGACTCCACACAATCCTGGAAAAGGTGCTCCTTCCAAATGTGTACCTGTGCTCTGCACACGAACTCGCTGAGTATCCATGTGCTCTTACTAATAACATCTGTCCTTCTAAATTTTTGCTTCTCATATCAAGATATTAAGCTTCAAGTTCTTGGGGAAAAGACCACAGACTCCTACGGATGGACCACAGGGTGTATCCAGGACACTTACGTTTGCCAAAGCAATCACTAAAGACGAAACTGAACAAGTAATCCCGCAGCTTTCAGAAGAGATGAGCAGTTGATGAACTGCTCTGATGAACAAAGTTTAAAAATAAAAAACCCCAACAACTCAGGTCCAGATTTCAGTGGCAAAACCTGATTGATCCTCTTGAGACTGCCATAACCCCCAGAGTTAAGGACGTGTGGAAGGACAGAACTTAATTTCAAGAATTTGTAACCAAGAAGTAGCAGCAGAAGCACAGGAGTAGCTTGGTGGAGACACTGTGCTGTCATGAAGGACAGCTGGGATAGATTCTTGCACTTGGTTTCACGTGCATATGAGCACACAAATGCTTGCTTGACCAAATCAACTACCTTATCTACAATTAAAAGTAAAAAATACACCTATGTCAAAAGTCTGTTGCCCTTCATGTCTTAGTTGTGCAACCGGAAGTCAAATCCGGTGGCCTGAAGTTATAAATGCATTTACTAAGCAAGTAACTTTAGAATGAATGATTCTATTCAAGACAATTTTCATTCATCTGTTGGGTAAAATCCAGACCATTTTAGTTTATTCACAATCAACACAGAGCACCAATGGAATTAGCTGCATACTACATCCATATCCCAACAGCAGAGCATTTACTTACTCCTGGTTCTACTTGAGTTCTATCTGCAATGTCGATATGGACAATTTCAACACTCTTCCATGTGTTTGGATCTAAATTGTGCACCTGCAAAAAAAGAAAAAGGAGTGACTTACACACTGTCACCTTACACAGTGGTGTACCTTACGCAGTACGTATGTGTGCCACAGATTTCTTCTGGATTTCATAGAGGTAGCGTTCTCAAAACCTATCCTTTCTTCCTCTGCCTTTCTAAAAGGGAATAACACTTACAGTTTAATTCACCCACCAACCAATTTTAAACCAGCACAAAGCTTTCACTTTTCAGGAAACTTGGGATTTAAGATTAAGCTGTATTCTTCAGTCACAATCATCAGCACTAATGAAATCAAGCTCTAATTAGAAACATTACTCATTCAGTAACCTGCATGAGCGTTTGGATCTAGAAAGACGCAAAAATTCCAAAGTGTAAACATGCCAGTTTCAATAACTTGACTAAATCTAGTAGGTTCTCTCAATCCCAGGGCTGCCTTTCACAGGGACCTGATGAAGCAGGTGTGGTATGGAGGTACATAAAGGTCTGAAGATGCGATCAGCTTCACACCTGTAGTCTGTCAGGCACACCTAAACTTACAGTTAGGGCAAGAGCTGGCCAAGAAATAGACTCCTCTGAGGAGAAGGACTGAAAGCAAGCACTGAAAGCGTACTGACGACTATTCCTTTATGGATGGTTTATAAATATGTTTGACACAATAAATAAAAAAATCTCCTGAAGAGAGCCGTGAACCAAATCAACTGTCTAGGGAGGAAAATGAGACTATCGCCAGCCCGGGAAATGTAAATAAGCAGCTTCAATACGTAACTCTACAGAAGTGTAGCCAGATAAACCCCAATAGCTTTGTGAAACCTGTTGTGAAACCTCTTTTCAAACAAACTTGTCAGCCTAAGAAGCACTAGCATGTCTCAGGTAAAAGAACACGAAACTAAAAAGAACTTACTGAAAGTCTATTTAAATATTGGAGTGAGAATCAAGCACCTGCATTGACCTCAACGTAAACAATAAAAATCTTTTCTTATTCTCACATCTCGTTAGGTGAGACAGCTGGACCACCTCAGAAGGATTTGAATGCTTTTCTTGTTTTACATTTACCACTGGAAGGGCTTTGCCTTTATGCAGTAGTCACCCACCATTACCAGGTACAGACTACTTTATCTGGATGACTAGTGTTGAAAATATCACTAACGCTTGGTACCCGAATCCCAACTCACGTTCTCTGATGTCCCCAAATCTGGTTTATGCCAGGTCTCAATTTTTATGAAGAAGTCATCTTTCATGTACTCATTCTGTAAGAATTAAAATCAAAAGGCATGAGTCTGATTACACCTCTCTGCTTGAAGTTTAGATAAATGGTATTTACGTATAAGTCACTACTAAGCCTTGAGTAGCAACACATTCTACTTAAAGTATAAACGAAACAGCCCCCTTAACACAGACAGGGAAACAGGTGCAACGAGACAACTAGTATCTGAATATTAAGTATCAGCTACAGCATTAAGTACTAAATTAAAACCAGTCGTGTTTGGGAAATCCAACTCTAACTCTGCACATGCAAATAGAAATAATCCTGCCGTTTACCATCCTCTTCCTCAACCCTGAAGTGCTTTACCTCTACGTTCAAGTAATTTTCAAATTATTAATACTGCGGCCAAGACAAAACCGCTAAAATACATTTGCATGAAGTTTTTAATAAACAAGACTATTCCGAGAGGCAGGAGTATTAGCTGAGGAACATTCGATGTCACTGTACGATCATAAAGGTCCAGCGACCAATAAACTGTATGTCTAATTTCAGAAGAAATGTGCACAAGCTGAACAGTTTGTTACTCCTGATGTTGCATGCACCTCGTGACAATATACATGAAGTTTACAAGTGAGCAGATAAAGCAATTTAACATTGAACCTATCGGCTCCCTTGAACGGGTCACCAAGGTCTATACAGAGAGAAATAAAGCCTTAATGGTCGCTTTCCCACGCATCTTAAAAAATAAACCAAAATAAACCCAACCCCCCAGGTATGACGATCCATTCAGACTCTCAGTTAATCCGTTTTAACTGGGGCAGGATTTCACTTTACAGAAATGGGATTTCAGACAGTTATGGATTGATTTTATTTCACTGTGCTTCCTGCATTCAAGAGTGTAGAAACCTCTGATTTGGCTTTTTTTTTTTTAACATTACGTCTTACCAGGACAGACATTATGCAGCTGTAATGGTAATTAAAGGCATAAAAGATGATGTAAAAAATGAAAGCAATTCTCTGACAAATTATAGCTCTTTCTAATTATAGCTGTGTGCAGACAAATAAGGTAACAGGGAGCTGTATGCCAGGAGCCCTGGCCAAGCTAGCTTGCTAGAGTCGGAGTCGACTGGAGCAGTAACAACAGATAAAATATATTTCAAAAACCCGACACAGGACTGATAGTAATTCAAATACTCACTGTCACAACTGGTCATGGGAAGCACATGCAATGCAAATGGAAAGGAAACACAAAGTGTTATTAGTTACAACAGTTTCTGAAAAGTCTCACACACAATGATTGCTTCACAGTATAAGCAACATTCAAAATCAGTCTAACAGCATCTGTGCGCATCAAGTCAGCAGAGCTCAGCAGACTTTGACTTGCTGGCCTTAACCTTGGAAGTTCCTTGTAAATACTTCAAACTTTCAACAGAAAGACAAAAGAAACAGAGCCCACTCTTAGAACTTGAGCAATTAAAGTATTAAAATAAAGCAGTGACCTTATTCTAACAGGCTCTGAAGAATTAAATTATTTTCAAACAGGTTCTGTTCTTAAGAGAACCACCTCCTCAGATTTATCCTGAGGACGTCGGACACTAAGACTGTTGGAAGGAGTAAACTGGTCTGTTGAGGCTGCTCTTCAGAAGCAGCTCTCCTTTTTGGAAGAGGAGACCTCACAAACACAACATTAAAATTTGAAATGCGTTTTCCACTTGATGGCACCCTCTTTCCTCCCAAACCATTTAAGACCATCCCTTGACTGAACACTGACAGCAAAATACACAACAGGAGACCTACTTGTTCTACAGTAGGGATACGCATTCCAAGCCTTCTCGTGGAACACCAGAGAGCCTTCTGGAGCAAACATCCTTACAAAACCAGGAACTTTACTGTGAAAAACAAATATTGATAACATTTTCAAAATTTTTGCCAGCTGAAATTCCTTATTGATTTCTTCCACTCTAGTAAGAAAGGCACGTTCTACCTAAGCACTTCAAAGGTTATGATGTGCAAGGTATCCAGAGTTAAGCATGCAGGAACTCCAACAATGTTACTGGTCACAAGAAAGGTAGTAATAATTGAGAGTGAGCTAGAAATAATTTTGGAAGCACTGTGATCACGATGCAAGCTGAGCTTTCTTTCCTCTCCAAGAATGGCAAAGATAACTGTTAGATGGATAACTGGAGAGCGCTGCCCCAGAGATCTCATGTCCAAACTCTCTAGCAAAATGACAGGTCCATCAGGGAGCAGCCTGTCACTGGGACACCCTGCAGCCCAGAGGCAAAGCCACGCAGCTGCTTCAGCCACGCCTGAGGAGGGAAACTGCAGCTCCCCGTAAGCAGCAGAATTACCATCTCTGCTAACAACTGCCCTCTCTAACCCAACAGAGTCACCATGACAGTTGCCAAAAACTGGATGCTTGGGAAAAAAGTAACAAAAGCTCATACGACAGATTTGGTACAATATAAAATTTGGTATTACCTAGGGGAGTACTTGAGGCAAGTTTAAGCAAACTACATGTACACACGTGTGTGAGAGACAGACAGAGTGCAATCTACCCAAGTGTTCCATCCTCAGTTTTTCTCCAAGGATTTTTTTTTTTTGTCCTTTTTCCTTTTCGATTCAAGAAAAAAAGCCAACTGATGGAACCTTACGTCCCACTCATCTGGGACTTCTCTTTTTCCAGAATAAGCAAACACAATTCTTTTAGCTCTTCCACATGAGTCATGCTGCCCACACTTCTTTCTGCCCTCTCGTTCCTCTCCCGTTTGTGCCCATCTGAAAGTCCAACCCAAGGCCCACCAAAAGGAATTGCAATCCATACCTTGTGTGCAACAATCCCGCATGGAGCATGGCCCTGAGGAGAGTTTGCCTTCACGTGACTTTCATGGGACACTAAACATTCAGATGGTTCTGAACAGCACCGCTGTGCTGCAGTTATTTCCCGTGTCGTCTTTCGTGCCTCCCCCACAGGCAGCCAACTGTAAGCCTATTCAGTTCTTCAACTTTTCAGAGCTTTTTTTCCCTCAATTATAAAAGTTTGGAATACTAATCCTCACAACTTGACAACATATTACAAATCCTAACACATGGCTACCTTCATGGTTCTGCAGCCCTCTGGAGTAACATCGACTATTTCTCCCTAAAAGTTCAGACCCCAGGTGGGTCAGTTTTCCAAATAACTCAGGTTTAATCCGCTCTGAAAATATTCTTTACCCTACTACTTCTCTCTCAGAAAAACATGGCCCTGCCACACCACAAGAACTTGTGTGATGCCTTACAGAGTGCTTTTAAAGAGCATCCAAGCAACAAGAACTCTTTCGTAAGTACCAGATAACATAAAAACATTCTTTATAATGCAGTAACAATTCTCCTTTTCTCTGTCCTTCTACATCAACATTCCTGTCCTTCAGGCTATCTTACAAAGCATCTGTGACACCAGCCCATCATTTCAGCTATATACTAAGAATTCAAATTTTTCCTACTTAGAAATGCAGTTGCCTATTCGCAGATTGGACATTTTGCATGGCTCGCCACTACTCTATCCCACATATTTAAAACCCACTGTACTTTACATGTTTTCCCACTCACCAGAGCATTCATGCACAATTTGGCAAATTACAGAGAGGCAGGAAACCACAGGTACCCCGGAACAGTAAACAATGGCAGGCGGTCCTCACTTCTAAACATTCTGTGCTCGACACCAAGTGACCATAAAACACTGATGCATATTTCTCACCTCTTTAAATGATAGATTTTGTGAGTATATTGTCCCTTCTCACCATCCTTTTCATAAGGCTCATTTTTCAAGACTTGAATTCCTTCACCACCTCCTGTTTCGTTTTTGCTAGCTTCTGCCACAGAATAAAGTTGCCCAACTTGATACTGAAAAGTCAAGAGAAATACAATTTCAATATTGAAGTTAGCCAAAACTTTTAATGCATAAAAATATTACCTGTTGCCAGTGAAAATTTGGTAGTACAAGCAAAATTATCAGGCAAGTAAAATACACCATATAAGAAATACTTAGGACAGCATGGCAATCTGCTGGCAAAATTTATTCGTAGTTCACAAGCACCAGGTCTATAATCAGCTTGTTTCACGTTACTGCAACACTTTGGTATAGCAAACCAAACGTGTCACTCTTCATTTTTCTCCTCCTAAAAGCAAAGTATACAGGTTGTTCTTCATTGAATACAAGAAACATAATTTTTAGTTCACAGATTTTGAAATGACTGACTTCCAGTTCCGAGCCTCCCAAATCCGCACTTGTAACCGACCCTCACGGGACCCATACCATGCAAACCGCAGACGAAACCGCAACGCGTTCCCTCAGAAGCACATTCAGACATCCTGCCGTGGCTTTCACAGAAAGTATCTCAGTGCCAGTTAAATTGCTGCCTTCAGATCTTGGAAGACAATTCCTACCTCTGCCTTTAGGAAAAGGCTTGGAGTCACTCGATGCCTTGATCAGCAGGGAAATTCTGCTGCAGTGCAGAATTGCACAACTTTCTTTCCTTGCTTGCAAGCGGCTCAGAAACAACTGAGGGTTCTGTGCCTGCAGGCATCTGCCTCCTTTGAAATTCACTGAGCTGCAAGAGGTTAACTCTGCCTGACTGGTGGCTCACACATGTGGCAACTCACCTGTGGCAGGCTGGTGGGTGCACAGCACAGGAAACATTTGGATCCAGGCTAGCCAGATTTAAATAAGACACTAACATCTTCCCACCCGTCACCCCGAAACAAAGGCAGGTAGGATGAAGACTTACCTCTTGCACTGAGCAAGGTAAAACCACTCGGCTGGAAGAGGAAAAGAGCAAATTAAACAAAATTAATTACTAGGCTTCATCTGCAGATAACATATAAACTGCAACAAAGACATTCAAGAAGGAAGTGTCAAAATGAGTTAATTCACGTCTTCTTTTTAGACATGCCCTGTGACAGTAAGGCTGCATGGATATAATGCAACAAACCCCAGTAAAATTCAGTGACAGATATGTTATAAAAGGAAAAAAAAGGGAGTTAAGAATGTTAGAAGCTGCAGAGAAGATCCAGGAAATGTAGGATCTACTTCCAGCTCTGCCACGACTTCGTATTGTGCTGAATTTGTTCAAACTGTGCGGCGTGAGCTTTCTCCAGGTGTTACACAGCACACGGTCCCACCTGCACAATTTAAAGGGACAAAAGCACAGGCCCGCGGAGCCTACGGACGGATGGTGGCAACTCCAGCAGTCGCGACCCATTTAGAGAGCACCGCAGCTGGCACCGTGTGCCGGTGGCAGAGCCAGTGCGTTCCAGGCAGGCGGTTCCGCTCCAGCCCAACGCGCCGTGCAGCTCACAGCAACGTCAGGGCGCGCACGGGCTGCTTTTCCACAGCAGCAGCGCCCGGCACAGACAGCACCCTTCGGTTCCGCTTCACGTCATCAAACAAAGACAATACGAATCGTTACTGCTGCTCCTCGAGTGGCACTACCTCCTTTACTGCCAACCTGATGGCCACTACGATTCAAAACAACACAGTCATCCCAAAAGCACGGATACAGGTCAAGCCTGTCCGCCGCTCCGGAGCGGAGGAAAGCTACAGGTGGCTGATTCAGCTCTTACTACCCGCTGCTGCGCCCACACTTTGAGAACAGAGTTTGATACAGGTGGGTTTTAGGCACCACTATGAAAATTACTTCATCAGTTTGAGCGCCCTGCAGAGCAGAAAAGGCAGCAACCTTGAGAAGATGGAAACGATCGTCCCTGCGGATCAAATTCAGTCTTGTGATTTCCACGCAACTTCTTCTCTATCCTTTGTTGGATAAAGATTTTTCTATTTTACTCTACTATGCGCCTCACTGAAGTAGTTTTATCCAAGCTGTGAAACCTTCAGAGAGAAACTGAGAAAAACATAATCGGCCCCAAACGCTGGCAAGCGTCAGGCTGAAAGCAGAGCTTGCATCCAAACACAGCATGGCCAAATGGCAGTCAAAATAAAATGCCCATGAGAAGCCCCACTATTTATCATTTTACTCGAGAAAAAAGTCCTTAAACTGTTTTTAAAGCTGGCTAGCAAGGCCAACAGAGACAGAAGACAACTGTCTTGGCACCAGCGGATGCTGACTCAGTACCTAGAGAGGACATGTTTGTGGCTTGCAAGCAGCACAGGAGACTTTTGGGCAACTTCAGCTTTAGCCTTTAGCAGGACAACATGTAAAATATAAGTATAGTCAGGAAAACCCCAAAAATGCACGGGTACAAGGAAAGGTGAGGAATTAAAAGAAAGTTGCAAGGAACAGAGTTTTTTGAATTTAAGAGTGACAGACAGACAATGCAATAATTCAAAAGAGCTGAGTAGCAAAGAAACCTGGCGAGAAGGTATTTGGAACAAGCAGACGGCCCCCCGCCACCTTTCAGGGAACGCAGACAGACCGTTTGCCCCACGAGGGCCGGCGCGGCTCTCGCCGCAGCTCAGCGGGACACCCGTTCTGCACCGCACGCTGCCGGACAGCCCGCCCCGC